AATTTTATCTTTTTTTCTCAAATTTTCTGTTTTTTTGGGTTCGGGGGGGGGGGGGGTGTTATGTTTTAATTTTTACTTGAATCTTTCAAATTTTTGATTAAGTTTTAATTTGTTTTTTTTATAAAATTAACCATCCTGATAATCTTGGACCAGCAACAACCTAGAACGACCCGTTCTGTTCCAGCAGGTTATCTTCATCAAATGGACGGGTAGATCAAGACATTTCTAATGCCATATCTGAATGATTGCTACACCACTTTCATTATTCCTTCAGCTTTGACCTGGTTAATTATAGTCTGTTTGCATTGCTGTTCTCGAACTAGGGATCCATATTTGTGTGCAAGTTCACGCTTGCTCATTTATCTTCATATGAGTCATATAATGACATATGAGATTATTAATCTGCTTCACGATGTTGTGTAATTTTGCCGCAGTAACATGTAGATGAGTGTAAAGGTGATCTGTGCAAAGTCCAGCACTTTAATCTGTGTGCAAACCTACTGATAACCAGCTCACACTTTCTCAAAGATACCGCGGTATTACCTTCTGGACTTCACTAGATCACAAATCAAGCACGTTCCAGCTGAAACACCTAAATTAATGTATGAAATAATTAATTAAATTTTTTTTTAAATGTTTCGTCTTGGTTAAACGAACATTCCAGAACATTCCCACACTTTCTCAAAGATACCGCGGTATTACCTTCTGGACTTCACTAGATCACAAATCAAGCACGTTCCAGCTGAAACACCTAAATTAATGTATGAAATAATTAATTAAATTTTTTTTTAAATGTTTCGTCTTGGTTAAACGAACATTCCAGAACATTCCATTTGGTCATTTTGCTAACATTCTGGCAATGTTACTTTCAAACGTTCTCTGAACCTTCTGAAACGAATAGTAACATTCAAACAATGTTAGATGAATGTTCCACTTGTTTCAGAACATAAACATTCCATGGCTGATGTATAAATAACGTTTTTGCTGTGTTTCGAGAACATCATTAAACGCTTTATTAACGTAACTGGAAGAACGTTTGTTCATAACTTTTTAGAGAACCTTTCCAGAAAGTTGTATATGTTTTAAGAATGTTTTGCTGACGCTCCCATTACGTTCTCATGAAAACAATATTTCTCTGAATGTTCAAAATGTCCAGTTTTTTCATGTTTTAAAAGGGTTCTTCTTGGTTATACGAATGTTAAGGGAACATTCCATTTGATCATTTTGCAAACACAGGAATGTTACTTCTGAATGTTCTCTGAATGTTTTGAAACAAGTAGTAACATTTAAAACATGTCAGACGAATGTCCAACTAACTGGAAGTACGTAACTTTGAGAGAACCTTTCCAGAACATTCTCTGTTCGCTGGGGTCGAATTACCTTGGAGTACTACGCGGTATTATGGTCTGTTCCCATCACTGTACTATTAAGAGAAACACACACCACATTTTTGGGCATTTTGTGTCCAGGCAGATATTTGACGTTCTCATGTTCGGTGTTGATGATCTCGGTGAGTTTGCGTCCATCAATCATCTCCTCATAGACCCACATCTTCACCATTGGATCGAAGCGGTTTGATGCTTTCACATTGTGCCCGATGATCTTAGCAATGGCAGAACCCCTGACCAACACACACACACACACACACACACATCACTGACCAAGAAACAACACGTTATGACAGCCACTGTGTAAAAGAAACGTTATAATTTAGAAGTTAATTTAAAAACTGCATTATTTGCAATTTACATGCTTGCATACCATTTTTAAGTTGAATGTTGATTTAAAAATAAATAGTAATTTACATTTAGTAGACGCTTATATCCAAAGCGACTTACAAATGAGGACAATAGAAGCAATCAAATCCAACAAAAGAGTGATATGATATGCAAGTGCTATAACAAGTCTCAGTACACGCAGTAACGCAGTACACGTAACAAGGTTTTTTTATTATATAATAAATAAAAAGAAAACAGATAGAATAGAAAAAGAATAGAGCAAGCTAGTGTTAGAGGTAATTAATTCGTATTTATTTAAATAGTAATTTAATTTAAGTTTGGGCTCTGCTGTTAATTGTAAGCTTATAGTAATGTAAAAGGGCTCCCTATAGTTTAGAGCAGAAGCTGAGGTAGATTTTTAATTATGATTGAATTTATATATTTACATACATATACATTAAGACCATATATTATGGCCATATATTTAAAATTGCCATAGGTACTGGCAACACAAACTAAAGACTACAGCTATTGCTAGTAAAACTGTTGATTGATTGAATAACTGGATGTGAGAAGCTTCAGAATCAGGTTTACTACAAGAAAATATGCTACTATGTGCAAAAAAACAAAATTCTGAAAAAATACCGCGGTATATTCTGGATATGGCAATCAAATAGTAGTAACGTAGTACCGCGGTCTCAGTGAGCATTAGAGCACCGTGGTAACACCACAGTAGTTTTTGTAAGAGTACATTTACAAACACACAAATGTGGAAAGTCAAGACTGACGCAGCTGAAAATGAAACTCGATGCGCGTCTGACGTCGCGTCCGCTGCGTCGCGTTAAAAAGCTCCTAAAGCGTTCACTGCGTCGCGTTCATAGAAGACGGAACTCACCAGTTTCCTGAGCCGATAATACACACTTTCTTGCCTGGCATCGCGTTTGTTGCTGTCTAATGATCAGTCAGAGAGAGAGTGAAGTTTGACTTCCTGACACACAGAGAGAGAGAGAGAGAGACAGAGAGAGAGAGAGACAGAGAGACAGAGAGACAGAGAGACAGAGAGAGTGTGTGTGTGTGTGTGAGAGAGAGAGAGAGAGAGAGAGAAGTTTAACTTCCTGACACACAGAGAGAGAGA